TAAATCAAACAAATCACTAGTTTGTGCCTGCTTTGATTTACAAGAAATTTTGGTTACACGTTCTACAAAAGAAAGCTGAATAGTTTCAATTTTTTACTGTATGACTTGGGTACAAAGGATGAATTATGTGATATATGGAATAAAACAATATCAAATAGAGGGGCATGTGAGATAAGTTCTTGTTAAAAACAAGGTAGGTGAAGGGAAAAACAATTCATTTCCTATAGCGATAACTGTTACAGTCAAATCAAAATAGTTCAATGTTTCCTTCTTCAAAAATTTGAAATAGTATCGACTACTCACAACTATTTCGAAAAGGGTCATACCGAATAGAGAAACAAAGAATCCCTAAAGAAAGCCCAACAAGAAAGAACTGAAAATGTTGCAGACTCGGTTTGATTGAGCCTGTTCATTGACGGTAATGGAATGTGCAAGTTACCGTCCACGCCCCCTAGTACCGGCTTAAGCAGAATTCAACATTTAATTATGGTAATGGCGAAATTTTGAATTTAGAAACATCCGCAGATGTGTTTTATGGGCGGTTATCAGGGAACCTGCAATGTGACACTTTTGCGCCTTTCCATGAAAAGCGGCGTATGGTCACCAAGTAAAAGAATGCGTGTGCCCTAAACGAGGAAATAATGGGCGTAACTATATAAAATGGAATTTTGAAAGGGAATCGATGTTATGAAGACTGGATATCACAGATATGACGTTAAAAGACAAATTTATAAAGCAAGCAACATTGCCTAAGGGTGATTCAATATTATTCATGTAGGAATATTGGAACCACCCAACTAGAAAATGCCAAAAAGTTAAAACTAAAAATACCATAAACAAAACAATAATGTCGAATACCCAACACGGCAAAATTGAAAATGTTGCAGGCTCGGCTTGATTAGGCTCGGTTTGATTGAGCCTGTTCATGGACGGTACTGAAAAGTGCAAGTTACCGTCCACTCCCAATAGCACCGGCTTTAGCAGAATTCAACAATCAAACACGAAAATGGTGAAATGCAAATGTTTATACGGCGGCTATCACTGAACCTTTAATGTGACACAGTAGTGCCATAAACTTCGTCGTATGTTTAACGCGTCAATTGAACATTGCATTTGCCTTGTTGGTGGTTTTTATTCTTGTTTTTGTTACTATACAGTTAGTAAAAAAGCATTTTTTTAGAATAATATGCAAAAAAGGTAACAGCTTTCTGAATAAGGGAAATTAGTTATTATTAGCTCACCAGAACCAATGGTTCAGGGTGAGCTATTAGTATCAAAGGGGGATGCTAACTCCGGCGTCCGTCGTCAACAATCGTCTTCTTCTCTGAAACTGCTGAGCAGATTTACTTCAAATTTGGTCTGTAGCATCCTTGTAACAGTCACACTTGAATTTGCTCATGTCATTTCAATTTGCCCCTTTTATGGGTCAACAAAAAGAGTTAAAAATAGAAAAAAAAAACTTTAAACATCTTCTACTACAGAACTAGTTGATGGATGATCACCAAGCTTTGTTTGTAGCATTCTTATCAATTTTTTTTATCAAGTTTACTCATATTAATTTGATTGGCTCCTAAGCGTTCTTTGCTCAAAAAGTAGTGGCCAATTTTGTAAGGTTGCAAAACAATTTTTCCTGTTATCTATGTCATGAGAAATGCCCGAAGTTTTTTTATTGTAGATATTTAATAATCACACAATGTTATATTCTGCTCACCTGCTTGTTGTAAAAAATAATGGAAGACTATTATCTTCATTGATTTGAAATTGTATGAGTGCATTTAGTTGGGTTTTTTGTGTGCAATTTACTGGGATGTTTCCTGTAAATAAGCCCTAAAGTAAAGTATTTTGGCAATAAAGTAATCTCCATTTTTAACTGCTCTTTAAGGTCATCTAAGACATTTTCTTCTCACCAAATAGAATAAAACCGAATCCCTAAAGGAAGCCCAAAAATGTTGTTTGACAATGTAGCTGCTTGCCCTTATGTGTGTTTTTTTCATTTTGTATAACAATCTTTAAAGAATTGGTGTCGAGCAAATAGACCGTTTCCATATCACCATTTTCATAGCACATGACATGCTCTGCTGAGTTTGACATAGATGTGCAAGTCATATGGCAATAAATGTATTTGTTTCCAAGTAGGAGAAAGACTTCGGGGGAAGCAAATGTGAAAAATTCTTTGTATTAAATTCAGACAAAGGAATGCATATTCTTGTTTTTCAGTTACCTTACCTTGACTTTAACCAAGTACTTCTACAAATACATTTTCACTAGCTTCTTTTGACGTATTTTTTTATCAGTATGAAAAACTTGTCACAGTTTCACTATTATATGGTGGCTGATTTGTGCCATTCATGTTTTCGCCCCGCGACCCCGCCAACCGAAAAGTCAAATTAACAAGTTTAAATGGCGGGGGCGCGGATGAAAACACACCAATTAGCGAGGGCGCGGGTCAAAGTGTAATAAATAAAACTTCCTCCCACCCCCGCTCCGAACCCCGCTGTTTTATTTCTTAAATATCGCCCCCCGCCCCCGCGTTTATTTAGTAAACTTCGCCCCGCGCCCGTTTTCGTCTCGCGACCCCGCCTTTTAACTTGTTAATTCTCGACTTTTCGCTTTGCGGGGTCGCGGGCGAAAACACAAATGGCACAAATCAGCCACCATACTATTATGATCTTCAAGATTTTTGCGACGGGCGCGCCCTCAGGCGCGTTCAGAGCTATGTCATCTACACATGGGATTTCGTCGGCTACAATCGCGCAATGTGTCCTCAACCGAATAACAGTCCACGAAATAGTACATGAATTTGATCCTATGAAACTCCCATACTTCGTCGGGATATCTTAAAAACTTCCATGTTTAGCCTTTTCAATTTCAAATTAAGTTATCAAAGTTAAAATATAAACGTATTTGATTGATAAAAACGCTGTAGCCCCGTAGTATTATTGCGCAATTATGCAAATAACTGCTGAAACGATATACCGCTGTCGAAAAAGTAGGACAGCAAATTAAGCTATAATTAAGGAGTAAGCTCAATAATTCATAGAAATTATAAGCAAGAAATAAATATTTCCCCATTAAACAAAACATTTTTATTAACATCAAAAGTTTTTCGTGACTTTAGAATAACTCGCGCATTAATAAAAGAAGAACTCTTTCCGTGACTCATACCGCGGGTTTAGCTGAATATCCAGCAGTTATTAATAAATTAGACTACAGTATTATAGATATCAATTTTTGAAAATGCATGTAACAAGGGAGTTTTTCAACACTTTATCACCATGTAGTCTTTCATGGTAATCTTTATTGAAGGAAGTTATAATATCAGTTCTACTTCCACTTCTTGTGTTTTGTTTACAAAGTTTTCTAGGTCACGGCTATGAGATTATAATAGCCTACACTATTCTAAAAATAGATTCTGCATCATCTGTGCTGACTTTCGGACGAGTACACATTATACATGTAATAAACCATCGGATACTTACTTTGTTTACATGCGATACTTTAAGAAATTCTATAAAATTGCATGTAAGAAAATGGAATTTAGTGTGAAAATTGAAAGGGACAACTAAACACTGTAGTGCTTAAGTGACGTAAATGAAAAAAAAAATCTAAAAAAATACACCATTAATTGCTGATGATTTTAACCAAAAAATTTTTAATGAGACATATCCAAGAGAAATAAAAATAAAAAAACAAATTACTTATATTTTATTGTCTATATGCCCACTATGATATAACACGAAGCAATTCTAATTAACATTCTCACATGTATTATGTATTATGATTGAAGTTTATTTGTATGGTTTTATTTTAGAAATATTTCGTTGACAGTTTTTTTTTTCCTATTTACATATCATTTCTTGGAATAAATCGATAAGGACACTGATTTACAAGTTTGACCAGAGTTTTTAGGCATAAATTTCATTCTGTATTTAAAAATTTGGACTTGTTCTGCTTGAAAGTAGAAAATCTGAATTACATGTAAATCAGATTGGGACACATAAAATATATTGCTCTGCAAATCTTGAACTTGTATGGAACAAATTTTCTCTGTTATATCTTTTGTGTTTTGTTTTGTTTTTTTTTTTCTTAAAAAAAAAGCCTTATAATGTCTCTCCGGTTGCATGTCCGTCGCATTCAGTGCTGCAGCACTTTGATTTTAAATAAGGAGCTGGACCTTGATTTCTGCTGTCCTTATTTTTATGAAAGTTTAGCTTCTACTGTTTTCTCTTTATCTTTGTGATTTTCAGGTAACAGCATAATTCTCGCTTGACTAATGATTAAATCGGATTATGCTTTTTTTCCAACCAATTAAGTCCATCGAGTACTGCATGACGACTTTACTGGTATTGATTGTTCACGGATCCTTTGTTACTGCCACTAAATTTAGACCGATGATAACATTTTGCAGGGTTGGAAAGTAACACAGTGGCCATTAGCAGCAATACAGTCATTACTGCCATGTTTATGCGTCACAGTGAGTGTGAACAACAGGCGATATTCTGCATATAAGTTGTTGCTTAACAAAAGTAAGGCTTTAAAATTCAGAAGGTAGATTTAAATGATCCATGATTATTTTTTTTCCTGAAAATTGCAAATGGCGACAATGGGCCGAAGGGATGTAACTGTTTCTTGAGTGAAATAAAGCATCTTAAAGCGACCTCTCTTTAAAATAATAAATGACGTTCATAAGGGATTGAGGGAGGTTACCTGTATTTTTTTTAATTTCTAAAAGAATATTGTCTTGAAAGATAAATTTATAGACACATTTTCAGGTGTTAATCTGTAATTGTTATTTTTTACAAAATGTATTTGCACAAGAAAAAAACCCCCAAAAAACACTAACAACAACAACAACACCAAAAACAAAAAAAAAAACAAAAAAAAAACCAGTAAAGTATTTATAAATAATGTGTTTTCTACAGTGTACCAAAATCAATTAGATCTACCAAAAACAGTTTTTTTACACGAAATATGAATTTATCGCAAAATAAATGAAATAATTATTTTTTAACGAATGAAGCAGTAACAACTTCCATATCACTGTCTAAGAATTCGTGCTCCTTGAGCTCTCGTGCTGAAGCTCTTTTATCTGGATCAACTATGAGGCACCTGTCTACAAAAGATTTAAGTTCTTTGGATAATTTAAAGTATGTTTTAAAGAATGGTTTTCCGATCCCTTTCACAAGTTTGATGATATTGGTTGTTTCTTCGTTGATGTATGGGGGATCACCCTCGAGCATCTCTACCAATGTGATCCCAAAACTCCAAATGTCAATCTTAAAATCGTATGGTTTCCTAAAACAAAAAGACAACTATAATTTAATACTATTATTATCAGTATTATTGAATTTGTTTACATGTACGTCTTCCCAGAAAACGATTTTAAGCATTACTCAAAGAAATAAAGACATTACAGCATAAGAGAACGTTACCAATGATAAAAAAATGTGCAAAAGTTAACGTTAAATTTGAACTATCTCGTAAACAAAAACTAAATTAATAAATGTAATTAATCAATAGATAAATAGCAATTAAGTGTTGTTAGTTATAAAAATAGTATATGTTGCAAGTGAAAAGTCAATGCTGTAAATATAGATGTATATTTAATAATTCTTTGTAAAATTTAAACAACTATATTCCAGTTACCTAGCAACTACTTCCGGTGCCATCCAACATGGCGAACCTACAATTTCCGCCTTCATGTCATGTCTGTTGAATATGTAACTTGTACCAAAATCTGTGATTTTCACTCTTCCACGTACGTCTACAAGAACATTGTTACTTTTGATATCCCTGTGTACTATATTCTCTTTGTGTAGATAGTCTATACCGTTCAGACATTGCCTGGCTATGTATCTGATCTGAGGTTCTCGCAATGGAGCGTTTCTTACAATCTTGGTCAGTGAACAACCTTTCATGTATTCCATCACTAGCCAGACTTTGTTGACCGCCTCTACATAGATGGCGTCAATGGCGCTAACAACATTATCATGACGTATCTTCTTCATGATGGTCAACTCGTTTGCTAACATGGTGAATGGTTGCTTCTCCACTTTCATTATTTTTATGGCTACTAAACTCTTATACGCGCTCGTCTTTACACTTGCTAAAACCACATGACTAAATGTTCTGCAAATGAAAAAGCAAATAAAATATGATGTACATGTATTTGAAATTCAAACATCAGGCGTCAATAAACTTTTTATCTTGTCTCAAGAGAGCAAATAAAAGAACAATCCATCGAATATTAATCTTGACAATCTAAAAGCAACAATTAACACAATGTTTCGGTTCTATTCAAACATTTTTCCCTATTTTAACAGAATAGTACAATACCTATCTTTAATATATCTATATTGAATATATCATTTAATATCAAAACGTTTAACACAAGTCTATACTACAATAAGATATACGTTCGTTACTTAATTAGCATGAAGTCAAACGAATGAACAAAAGAGCAAACAGAGTCAAATTTCTGCACTGCATAAGATATAACATGTATATAAATGTATCAGAGATTACTTACCCTGAGTCTATCAGTTTCATTGGAGAATATTTCTGTTTTGGGTCACCGCCATTTGCCAGACACCCTGTCAGAGAATAACAATAAAAAAAAGAAATGCTTTGGCTCTGACGAACTGTCCATTGTCTATTTACAGTACAGTAATTTAAATTAAGAATAGGACTATTAAGCTGTCATCGGTATAAAATTTGGTTACAGTCGGCGGCCGGAAGTGTATTAAGGCTAGTCAGGCTCTAAATGAGCGAAATAAACGTGATACTGTCGCTACTAACGCTACCAATATATGGAGGATATTCAAGTTTTTTCTATAAATACAGGATTTATTTTCATCGAGTGGTATGGAAACAAATATTTCATTAGTGGCGGTAGCCACGAGTGAAATATGATAATTTTTATACGACAAGATGAATATATATCCTGTATTTATAGAAAAAAAACTTGAATTTTCTGTTTATTATATATACATTTTTCTTTTTGATATTACAATTTGAAAGATATTTCCCCTTAACCTTTGTGCATTGTCTGAATTTAGAAGGAGTCTGGCAAGACACCAGTGAAAATACGGAAAATATGTTTCATTGCAGTAAAAAGTATTCTTTACAGTGAAAATACGGAAAATAAAAATACACATTTTTCATCAATATTTCTCAATATTTCTTTTATAAGTATATAATAAATACGATTATATATTGCTGACGCCTTCATTAAGGGAAACGTGTACTAAAGGCGGCAAAATGCTAAATCCCCCCCTTTTTAAATAGACTAAATGTTTCTATATTTCTTTGTTGGCTTCTCAAACACTAATTATTTGAAACTGAACTTTCTAAATTACACCATAAGAAATGAGGAAATCGTACTTACTTAACATTTTCTTATAAAGCATGTCGGCTGCTCCTGGCGTTGCACATGACTTTGGTTTCATAGCGACAGCTGTCGGGGGTTTTACGGTGATGCTGATGATAATAATAATAATTAAACTAAAATATATTTAAATCAACAAAAAAAAAATAATAATAATCAATTGCTTTTCTTATTTCGAAATATTTCAAATTTGAGAACTGAGAAGTATAAAGACTAACAGTTATCTGTCACAAAATTTTGAAGAACAAGAACTATATACTATTAGGACAAATGAAGGAATGGAGCGAGATTTAATTTTCGGAAAATATATACGTTATTTCTATAATGAATTGACAATATAACTTTTATAAAAATTTATACCTTAACTTGTTCTTGAGACATTGTCATATTTGGTTTTATATTCAGGTGAATAGCTAAACAATAGAAAACTATTATTTGTTAAAATTTTAGAGTTATAATTAGGCTACCTTTTATGATGTAAAGTCGGTCGTCGCTAAACACCAAGAATTCCAAATCATTGTTACACGAAGGATGGAGATCTTATGATCAACTTGTCAGGAGTTCTTAGGATAACTGTCACGGAGTTCCTGGAAAACGTTACGGATTTCGTCGGAAACTTTATTGTATACTGGAGAAACACACGTTAAAAATCGTATTTTTTTATCTTTAAATGTGGAGTTTGAGGTGCTTAATAAAACTTAAATGATTAAGCTTGCCTTACATATTGTATTATGTGTCAGAAAATACTTTATTGTCCATTATTTTTATCGCCTCTTATTTAAAATCTGGTTGTTTTGAGTAAAATTTCCAAATTACTTGCTTTTTCGTTGCCATACTTCTAACCTAATTATAATGAAAAGTTGCAAACGTAAAGTCCAGGCTTATATATGTATACCGATATTTCAAATGTCACAGAGTTCTTGTGATAACTCTGAATATGTCATAAAGTTCTTATGCTGGCAGTGTGTTTCTTGTGCTAATTTACGGCACGCTTTAGCGTATTTTATTAGTCAATAAGTGAGTAAATCATTATGAAGCGTAGTACGTTTATCATTGACACAAAAATTTGGTTATGAATATGTAATATTGGTTTTGGGTGTATTTCAATTCAAGAGATAGTTTTCTTACCTCCGTTTCTTGTTCTTTTTTTTTCATTTTATAAAATTTTTTGCTTACGCAGATTTTGTAAACTGAAAAAGGCTTGATGTAGAGCATTTGCTTACAGGATAAAATACGATTTGAATTCAATACTCAAGCATGATGTCTTCATGTATACAATATTCCTGGTAGTTTAAGAGAACATTAAGTAACTATGCCATCGGTCTGTCAAAAATTACATGTAATTGATTTGCAGAAAAAATATGAAGAAGTATGCACTACCTTTATCTAAATTTAACGAGGTGGGTCATCTTCAGGTATTTCAACGGATATTTTAATTTCTAAAAGGTGTCAATTTTTGCCACAGAGACGTAGAAAATTCTATGACAACAATATGACAATACAAAGTAAATCTTTAATAATATATGTGAGTCACCTTAGATCGATGTTCCGTTTTTTATTAAATTCAATTTAGCATAACATGACATACAGAAATCTCCGTATTGCCGAAGATTATTGCATACATTTTACTTACATGTCCGTGCTCATAAATTCGTACATTTGTACAATTGTATACTATAAATTACATTCGACTTAATACAATATCTACAGTTACTTTTAGCTGACAAGTAATTCTATCTTGGGTTTTATTTCTGATAAACATTCTTGACCGACCATTTTATCTTCTTAAATGTTACGATCTCTATCCGGCGTAGAAAAGTAAAATAACCGAAAATGATCAGAAAAATAATATTTTCAGTAAAATATATTCATGACAGATTCTGAAATTGTAATAACACAATGTACAATATGAACAAAGTCAGCTCTCATAACTTGCTGATTTTGTGTAATGGAGTTTCCTCCCTTTAAATTTTGAACTGATCTCTATAGTAGTGGCAAAGGCTGAACACTTTTGGTTCCAAGTATTAAGTAGGGTCTACCACGCTGCCATGGAGGCCCCTTAAAGAAATATGAGCCGCGTCACGACAAAACCAACATAATGTGTTTGCGACCAGCATGGATCCAGACCAGCCTGCGCATCCGCGCAATCTGATCAGGATCCATACTGTTCGCTTACACACCCTATAACAAGTAGAGAAACTGATAGCCAACAGCATGGATCCTGATCAGACTGCGCGGATGCGCAGGCTGGTCTGAATCCATGCAGGTCGCAAACGCACTTTATTGGTTTTGTTGTGAGCAGCACATATGTGGTTTAATAACAATTACAAAAACAAGGTGTGTAGGTCAAGAATATCCAAAGAATATATAATTAATGTAATAGTTTTGAGATAAAAATAACGAAACACCTTTTTTTGTTCTGCAAGCAAAATACTTTTATTCATACTTTTTTTACAATACAAATAAATATGTTTTTGAGCATTTTCTAATTTATAAAAGTACAATATGTATCTAATACAAATGTTTTAAGAATGGTATATAGATATTAAAAATACTTGGTTCTTGATACCTTGCTTTCTTAAAGCTAACATTTTTGTCAAACAAACATTATTAGAGCCCATAAGGTTGTTTCACATAGTCTTTCCAAAACTGAAATTTAGTCTTTCCAAAACTGATTTTTTTTTAAAAATATATGTTTCTAAAAAACGCTCCATGTGTGTTTTGATATATTGAACAATCCTAATTTTTTATCATATAAATGCAATTGTAAAGCTAATTTTATCTGAAATCATGTTTAATAACATTGAGGTCAAATAGTAAAATAATGTTATGCAATATACATTTTAATTTTTGTCACTGTAAGTTATGTAAAATGCAATTCAATGTTTTCAAATTTGAAAAGTTACTAGACTATGGTAAAAATAAATTTAATTCCAAAAGTTCTATAACAAACACTATTTACTTTGAGTCTACGTATTCTACCAAATGGACAACCTCTTTATTTCTTTGATTTAAGCAAGCACAGTGCATTAACCTATAACCCATAACCATCCTATAGCTCAGAACCTGTCCTCGTTTAATATGAGAAATTTCGTTTTCAAAAGGCTCGCCCATATGGTCTCTTTCCGGTGGTAAACAAAACCAAACGGTGAAAAGGATAAAAAGACTGGACACTCTGGGTCTGTATGTGTAGGCAAGGGCTTGTTCAATAATTGACTTGAAAAGGCATGCTCATGACCAGTATTAAAGAGGTCAATGATGATCACATCTTTAAAGATAATGAATTTCATTTTTCAAAATGAGCATGCCTAAAAAGTAATACAAAACAAAAGTTGTAACAAGTGGTTAATGGTACAAAATGTATAATCTACATGTAATTATCACTTATAAATAAACTCAGAATGTTAACACTTGCATTTAGAAATCAAAAAATGCAAGAGCAAAAACGAAAAATGCAATTTTCTATTCACCATTGTTCATGTGATATTACATAAAACTAATGTGGATTTTTATCCTGACCATACTTAATTTGTACCACAGAATTGTCCTGCTTTGAATCAGTTTTGCACTAATGACATAGGTTTGCAACGCATACTCATGTAGGAATAAAGCTTGATGATCTTAAAGCAAATACTAAATTTCATAAATCAACAAATATTTTGTACCAAAAATGAAAACAAACTTTATATAAAGCCTCTTTAATTCCAGGGGAATGTTATATTTGAAATAAACAAAATCAGCAGCTAATATATAGTTGTTTATAATTCAAAATAGTAAGTTTGTAACTTTTGCATTTTGTAGAAGTTACTCCGGTATGTAATTCATGTACTAGTTTGGCATTCATATGCTTGTTTAGTCATAGTGTTTATTCATGTGCTGGAATGATTGTAATGCTTTGGTTTGTTATTTAAGTGTTGTTTGTCATTCATGTGTTGGTTTGTTATTAATACTTTGTTTAATATATTTCTGCTTTGTCTTCATGTTTTAGTTTGCTATTAATATATGTGTTGATTTCTTTTATATATTTCTGCATTCAATGTCATTCATGTGTTAGTTTTCTATTAATACATGTGTTGATTTTTTAAATATATTTCTGCATTGTCATTCATGTGTTAGTTTGCTATTAATACATGTGTTGATTTTTTAAATATATTTCTGCATTGTCATTCATGTGTTAGTTTGCTATTTATACATGTGTTGATTTCTAATTAACACTTTGTTTCATATTGTTTTGTCATTCACGTGCTCATTCGCCATTCATGTGTCTGTTTGTCATTCATGTGTTAATTTGTCATTCATGTGTTGATTTATCATTAATACATTGGTTGATCATATTTTTATTGTTATTCATGTGATGATTCATATTTTGGTTTGTTATTCATGTGTTGATTCATATTTTGGTTTGTTATTCATGTGTTGATTCATATTTTGGTTTGTTATTCATGTTTTGGTTTGTCATTCATGTGTTGATTCATATTTTGGTTTGTCATTCATGTGTTGATTCATGTTTTGGTTTGTCATTCATGTGTTGATTCATGTTTTGGTTTGTCATTCATGTGTTTGTAATAAATCAAACAGATAAACATTGAGGTTGAGAAGAGGTTGGATTACAACACACATGAGCTCCAAACATATTCATAATTTTGAGCTCAAATTTTACATATCGTTTTAAAACTATCACAGCCTTGAATAATTTAAAAACATTTCTTAACTATAAAAATACAAAAATGAGGAAACTTTGGTCTATACATGACAAATAAATAATACACAAAATTTACAATTACCATCAAAACAATAATTTAAAATAAAAGCTTATTGTTAAAAAAAGCATGCTCTATCAAAGCTATACTTCACAGTCTATACTAAATTACATTAAGGTATTTAGAACTGTATTGACCACAGGCCACTGACTTGAGAAAGACTTTTGAAAAATTGTTTTTATATCAACAAAAAAATAAATAAAACATGTAAGATGTAAAAATATATTATTGATGCTGATTTTCCTGTCATTTTTTACATAAAAATTTAAGTGTTGACTTTATCTACTGTTAGAAGACCATGTTTTGTATACCTCATGAAGTACCAGATTACATTTTCATACATAATTTTTGTAGTATAATGTAAAGTCTTTGAACTGCACTTTGTTTAGGTGGTTCAACATTAAAAATATACAGGAAAATAATTAAGTTATTGCAAAAAATATGTGATTTAGAGTTATCCCCCAAACCAGTATCTCGTTTCATAAAAAAGTTGGAATATAAAGTAACACTTCACACAGTGATTTTTTCCCCAAATAAAATCTAAAATTTCTTATGAGATTCAATGCAGAACGGGCAGTTATAGCAAAATTAGATCGGTCTAAAAGAAAAAGGATCCTACTTACAGGCAAATAAATATATTATGTCAAAAGGGTCTTTTAATAACATTGACATCAAAATTGCATAATTACTTTACACAATTATCAAACTATTTTAAATTATTAACATGTTTGGTATGATTTCTAACATTTTATTTCATGCTTTCAAGTGTTTTATTGTAATATATCATATGATTATATTCTGATAAACCACTAGTGAAATTTATAAAATATAATTTTCACTGTAGCCGGACTATATCTGAATGCGGATGAAAAGAAAATCATAACTAAAGGGAATAACAGACAGAAATAAATGCCGTCATACGTAAATTTTGCTTCTTTAGGAAAAGAAAGTCGATGTCACCATACATCATGTTAAAAATGTAACAACATTAGAGAAATTTAACAGAACTATATTTCAAAATTGATGATGTGACGTCATGATGTGATGACGTCACAAAGGAGAAAGTGCGACGTTATGCGGCAAAATCAGTAAAAAATACTAAAAATCACTTAAAAAAGCATGAAATAAAAAGAAAATTTATTTGTTTTTCATATAATAGTGAAATATATTTCATTCGTGAACACCAGCTATTATATTTTCACTCGTGGCTACGCCACTCGTGAAAATATTGCATCTGGTGTTCACTCAGTGAAATTATATTTCAATCTTACATGCAAAACAAACAAATATCCTCTATATAATTAATCAAAATCAAAAACAATAGACTTGCCTGTGGTAAACATTAACCCTTACTTTGCTAAATATCATAAACGGACCAGACCATCTGTTAATATAGACCAAACAAGAAAGTTTTAAAATAACTCAATAGCGAACAGTGCAGACCATGATCATGATCAGAAAGGCCTGATCTTGGTCTGCACTGGTCACATGGGTCGATTCAACTGCCACAAACAGGCTAAAGGTCAAAAAGGGAAATACTTATACTTAACAACTTGATAAAATATCAAAATACTCTTTAACAATTCTTTGGTTTTGAAATCTTTAATAAACTAACATAGTTATATAACCTTAAATAAACCTTTAAATAATAACATTTCTGTTTATACTAACTTTTCTGTTAATACAAACATTTGTGTTAATATCAACTGAATTTCAAAGCGAACAATTTGGTATTAAGGATGATATTTCTACAATATATGAAAATAAAGCATTCAGTATTTCATAAAATTTGGTAATGAATTTACAGTGTTAGAAATTTCATATTTGACTAAAACTACACTCAATTGAACAGCTATCAAAGCCACACTCTTCTAAGGATTCTAACTAAAACAAGTTCATTTTTTCAGCCTTTAACAGGCATATGTCTTTACAACGTGTAAAACAACATAATTTCCTTTCAAAGTAAAAAGAAACAAAAGAAAAAAGCAACTTATATAATAAAATGAATCAAAATGTCAAAAATGTCGAAAAATGAAAAAATAAAAACATCTCATGATAAGGTTATATATACAAGATCTTGACAACATTTCTTAATTAACTTTGGTCCATTTTCCATCTGGTTCTTTCTTGTAGTGGTTGCCTTTGCCTTTAAACACAGACTTCAGTGGTTCCGGGAAATCTCGGATTTGAACAAGGGCGGCACGAACACAAGCTTCGAAATGTTTTGGTTCTTGTTCTGGTGATGTTGATAAATGCTGAAACAAGTAAAAAAAAAACAACAAGTTTTATCTTTCCTAATGTTTAAAGTTTATCATAAATGCCTGTAAAAAAAAAAGGTTACAAATAAGTCTTTAATGTATGACTAAAGTAATGTGTGAGATTAAACTACCAAAATATCTTATGTTATTAACACTGCTTATGTTTTCCATGCAAGTCATTTTTACAACAAAATATATCAATTTGCTCTAACAATTTTTTCTTTGGTTGGGTTATACATTGTAAGTCATTTTGACCCTGTAAAGGTCATATGGCAACTTCTCGGCTATACTGGTGGAGGAACAGCTATAGTGTCAACCCCTACATGCATTATATATCAGGCTCCAGCAGACACATAATATAAGAAGAATCACTTACATATGTACTTTCCATAAGCTATCTGGGTGGCTTAATTATATGAAAGAATTCAAAGTTCATTATAGGATTCTAACTAGTCCTACATACCAATATTTTGTATGACTTTAAGCATTAATGAGGGAAAGGAAAAGCACTTTTATCATAAGGTATTTTACATTATGTACACAACATTTTACATTTGAAAACTTTCTTTCAATTTTCTAAAGCAATATAAAATTGACGGTTTTTACCTGTCTTATAATGGGATCAGGTAATCTACACAGAAGATCTATTTCATCCATGGAACTGTAATTAAATGGTCCTATGACAAGCTGCCTCCTTCTTATGTCATAAATATTGATGACCTACAACAAATACAAACAGTGACAATAACAATTTTAATTTCACACATCATGCATTTATACAGACAGACTTTGAATCTTTAAACAGATACAAACCTGACCTTGCTGAATTTGAATTATGTTCTTGTTTAGCTTATAAAATATAACTGTTTAATATGAAAGTTTCAGGTATTTTATTATTGAGATACTCTAAAATTGAGCAGCAAGCAGTATAGGGTCAGACAGCTTGATTATGCTGGTTGGTCAGGTTTTATATTGGTGGAACGCCTCAGTTTATATAACTGCTAACATTCAAAGGGCAATCGTACATTTAGTCAGGGCTCATTGAAATACTATTTTTGCATGTTCTTTATTATTATTGAGTTACAACTGCTATGTCTCAGCCAAGATGTATTTTAATGGTTCTCAAGTAAGGGAAATATTAAACCTTTTTTCAGTTTTGTGCTAAAAATTATTTTTGTCACCTCAACATTAAACTAAAAATCTGCCTCTATTTATAAGCATATGTATACACATCATCTTTGGGATCTTTTCATTGATTTCTGTGCTATGGGGAAGAAGTCTGACATTTTAAGTTGCCAAGGAAATGGAGAACTTACATCTTCTGAGCCTGTAAAATGTCTCGCAGATCTGAGGGGTTGATCTGGACCTCTGTCTTGAAACTTGGCGGGAAAAATTTCCCCAGTCTGAATTATCACAGCTGAAAAAACATGATAAAAATGTTGATATATTACATATATATAAAAGTGACCATATCAAAGTATGTTAGAGTATTATAAAAATGTTGATATATTAAATATATATAAAAGTGACCATACCAAAGTATGTTAGAATATTATAACAATGTTGATATATAAAATACACATAAAAGTGACCGTACCAAAGTATGTTAGAATATTATAAAAATGTTGATATATTAAATACACATAAAAGTGACCGTACCAAAGTATGTTAGAATATTATAAAAATGTTGATATATTAAATACACATAAAAGTGACCATACCAAAGTATGTTAGATAATTATAAAAATGTTGATATATTAAATACACATAAAAGTGACCGTTACAAAGTATGTTAGATTATTATAAAAATGTTGATATATTAAATACACATAAAAGTGACCGTACCAAAGTATGTTAGATTATTATAAAAATGCTGATATATTAAATACACATAAAAGTGACCGTACCAAAGTATGTTAGAATATTATAAAAATGCTGATATATTAAATACACATAAAAGTGACCATACCAAAGTATGTTAGAATATTATAAAAATGTTGATATATTAAATACACATAAAAGTGACCGTACCAAAGTATGTTAGAATATTATAAAAATGTTGATATATTAAATACACATAAAAGTGACCGTACCAAAGTATGTTAGAATATTATAAAAATGTTGATATATTAAATACACATAAAAGTGACCGTACCAAAGTATGTTAGAATATTATAAAAATGTTGATATATTAAATACACATAAAAGTGACCATACCAAAGTATGTTAGATTATTATAAAAATGTTGATATATTAAATACACATAAAAGTGACCGTTACAAAGTATGTTAGATTATTATAAAAATGTTGATATATTAAATACACATAAAAGTGACCGTACCAAAGTATGTTAGATTATTATAAAAATGCTGATATATTAAATACACATAAAAGTGACCGTACCAAAGTATGTTAGAATATTATAAAAATGCTGATATATTAAATACACATAAAAGTGACCATACCAAAGTATGTTAGAATATTATAAAAATGTTGATATATTAAATACACATAAAAGTGACCGTACCAAAGTATGTTAGAATATTATAAAAATGTTGATATATTAAATACACATAAAAGTGACCGTACCAAAGTATGTTAGAATATTATAAAAATGTTGATATATTAAATACACATAAAAGTGACCGTACCAAAGTATGTTAGAATATTATAAAAATGTTGATATATTAAATACACATAAAAGTGACCATACCAAAGTATGTTAGAATATTATAAAAATGCTGATATATTAAATACACATAAAAGTGACCATACCAAAGTATGTTAGAATATTATAAAAATGTTGATATATTAAATACACATAAAAGTGACCGTACCAAAGTATGTTAGAATATTATAAAAATGTTGATATATTAAATACACATAAAAGTGACCGTACCAAAGTATGTTAGAATATTATAAAAATGTTGATATATTAAATACACATAAAAGTGACCGTACCAAAGTATGTTAGAATATTATAAAAATGTTGATATATTAAATACACATAAAAGTGACCATACCAAAGTATGTTAGATTATTATAAAAATGTTGATATATTAAATATACATAAAAGTGACCATACCAAAATTTATTAAAATACATCATATTGATCATGATTTACCTGTTCCATGCTAATTCTGTATAATGAACTTGTCTTGTTTTTTTGTTTTGAAACTTAATTTTTTATTTTAAAGAGGATTCAGTTTCAAAAGCCTAAAATATTATACTATTATACTATGATTTAAACTAAATTAAATCATTTCTAAAAACTGCTGCTTATAGATGCATTTCTAATATTTAAATCTATGTCACATTACCTAATCCGTAAATGATGGGAAATGGAACACCTTTATCAACTCTTGTATTCAAATCTGAAATTAAATAAAAAAACGTACATTTTTAATTTTACCTAAGCAAAAAAAATAGTACTGCTAGGTTAACAGAAGATTAGCATTTCCTGTGTGCAATGATTTTGAAAATGATATGAAAATAATGATTTAACTAACAAGAGAGCCCAGAGGGCCCTGTATCACTCACCTGATAAATAGGTCAGAAGGATTAAGTGGAGCCCATTTCACCCCAGAGGAAATAGCAAAATTAAAACAACGTGAAAAATACAGGATTTACATATAAGGAAAATCAATGACCTCCTAAGGTGGGGCCAATTTTGACCCTAGGGGTTTTATTCCAACAAACATGGTAGACATTCACTAGAACATGTTTCATGTCAAATATCTAAGCTATAGCTCTTTTGGAGTTTCACAAGGAGATTTTTAAAGTTTTTACTATATAAATATAAGGAAAATCAATGACCCCCTAGGATGGGGTCAATTTTGACCCTAGGGCTTTTATTTAAATAAACTTTGTAGACACTCACTGAAAGATGTTTCATGCTTAATATCTAAGCTCTTGCTCTTTGTTTTTTTTTAAAAAGATATTTGAAGTTTTTACTAAAGACATATAAGGAATATCAGAAAAAGTTTTTGCTACAGGAATATCAGACCCCTGAGGCGGGGCCAATTTAAGCCTGGGGCTTTTATTTGAACAAATTTGAAGATGATTCATGCTTAATATCTAAGCTCTTGCTCTTTGGGTTTTTAAAAGAAGATTTTTAAGTTTTTACTATAGACATATAAGAAAAATTAGACCCCGGGGCGGGGTCAATTTAACCCTTGGGCTTTTATTTGAATAAATTTAGTAAACACTCACTAGAAGATGTTTCATGCTCAATATCTAAGCTCTTGCTCTTTAGGTTCTTTAAAAGATTTTTTAAGTTTTTACATATAAGGAAAATCAGACCCCGAGGTGGGGCCAATTTAACCCTGGGGCTTTTATTTGAATAAATTTGGTAGACACTCACTAGAAGATGATTCATGCTTAATATCTAAGCTCTTGCTCTTTTGGTTTTTAAAAGAAGATTTTTAAGTTTTTACTAAAGACATATTAGAAAAATTAGACCCCGGGGCAGGGTCAATTTAACCTTGGGGCTTTTATTTGAACAAATTTAGTAAACACTCACTAGAAGATGTTTCATGCTTAATATCTAAGCTCTAACTCTTTAGGTTCTTTAAAAGATTTTTTAAGTTTTTGCATATAAAGAAAATCAATGACACCCTGGGGACGGGCCAATTTTGACCCCAGGGCTTTTATTTGAACAAACTTGCTAGACACTCACTAGAAGATGTTTCATGCCAAATACTAAGCTCTAACTCTTTGGGTTTTTTAAAAGAAGATTTTTAAGTTTTCACTGTATACATATAAGGAAAAGCGTGGGGGGGGGGGGGGGTATTTTTTGACCCCAGGACTTTTAATTGAACAATCTTGATAGACACTCACTTAAGAAGATGTTTCATGCAAAGTATCTAAGCTCTACCTCTTTTGCTTTTTTTTCAAAGAAGATTTTTAAGTTTTTTCTTTTGGTTGCCATGGCAACCAGAGTTCTGCTTCGAACAATTTTTAAAGGCGACGACCAATGGACCTTTCCTGTGAAGTTTGGATGAAATTGGCTTGGCAGTTAATGAGGAGATGTTGTTTAAAGTAAAAGTTTACAGGCGAAGGACAGACAGGTGTTGCTCTGGAGAGGTTATATGATGTTGTGAGGTCTCACTTTGAAAAATAATTGACACTGGTTGTTAAAAACAAGTTATCGCTCCTATACAGAGTGCTTCTCTGCAAAGGTTACATTTTAGAGACTTTTCTGACTGCATACAGAGGGATAAGTGATAAACACAAGGATACTTACCTGTTATGCAAGCAGTAACCAAATGAATATGAGCTGGTGATTTATTGAAGGTATCTGAAATATAAAATATTACATTAATTACATCTCATGATCTGTCAACTAGAAATGTTTCTTTCTTTCTTTTTGCTGGATTTTACATGGCACAAACACAGTATAGGTCATCATTTAAGGCAGAACACTTCCTTGCATTGTTTCAGGCATGAACGGTCAATGTTCTGTAATCAAGCTGGACAGCTTACTCACATGAAAGAATGCAAAGTCCCTGTCCATATTTGAACCCACAGCGATGCAGGGTAAGTGGTTTGAAGTCAACAACCTTAACCACTCAGCCACGGATGCCCAATGGAAATGTGTCTATAAGACATGAATGCCCTAACAATCCATTGTTTCATCAGTTTATGACAGACAGGGTGGCAGCATGATGGAAGGATGGGCAGCGGCAATTCTCTGTATGCCCCAAACCCTAAGTGGTAGGGTCATAAAAACTCATGTAATTACAAATCGTTATGTAAAGACAATTCTGTAAAAAAACTACACAATACAAAATATTCTGAAGAAGGAAAAATGTTTTGAGACTGTATGTATAACATATGCACTATTACATTATTATAAAACATGTTACGTTAAGGCCCACCATTAACAAGAGCCTGGTTTGAGCCGGGTGATGCTCCCCGAATAGGTTTTGGACACAGGAAAGTACACCTCTTGTAGTTTCAGAGTTATGTCCCTGGAAAAAGTTCAAAGTGCAATAATTCCAAAATTAGGCAAGGCAGAGATACTGTTCTTTGCACTGCACTTCTAATCAATGTGATCTATCAACCTACAAAGTTTCTTGTTGATATCTCTTATGGTTTCCGAGTTATGTCCTGGACAACTTCAAAAATTAAAAATAAACAAAGGGCAATAACTCCAGAATTAGGCATGGCAGAGTTATGATTTTTGTGCACTGCACATCACCCCATTGAGATATATCTACCTACAAAGTTTCATGTTGATATCTCTTATAGTTTTACAGCTATGTCCTGGACAAGATTTTCCTAAAAGGGGAGATAATTCAAAAATGAGGCTTAACAGAGTTATGGTTCTTTTGCACTGCACTTCAACTCATTGCGATCTATCTACCTACAATGTTTCATCTTGATATCTCTTACAGTTTTAGAGTTATGTTCTGGACAAAGTTCAAAGTGTTAAAATTAACAAAGGGCAATAACTCCAAAATTAGGACAAAAAGAGTTATTGTTCTTATGCACTGCACATCTACCCATCGAGATCTATTGACCTACATGATTTCATGATGATATCTCTTATAGTTTTAGAGTTATGTCCTGTACAAGATTTTTCTATAAGGGGAGATAATTCAAAAACCGGGCAAAATAGAGTTATGGTTCTTTGACACTGCACTCCCCTTCAACGCCCTCTACCACTGTATGAAGTTTAAACAAATTATCTCCAAGGGTTTTCAAGTTATGCTCCGGACAAGACAACGGATGGACAGACGGATGGACAGACGGACAAGGCGCCGACTATATGCTCCCCCGAAATTTTCGGGGAGCATAAAAATGTATCACCACTAGCAATGTTCCTTACCTAATATTTTCACTGACAATTCTTCTGACATGTTTCTTTCATCTTTAAATCCACCAACAAGTGTTAACTCTAGTCTAAAATATATTAAAGTTTCCTGGATGTATATGCAGTAATTAGCAAGTCACTTCCCTTTCTTTCTCTTGGCTAGCTTAAAGCCTCAATTTAATTTTTGGAAGTAAGTAAGAAATTATATTTAAAAAACATACTTTCCTTTTTTATGTTGTATTTGTGATGCCTAAATAACAAGATATGTTTGTAAAACATGTATGCCCCCTATCAGCAGCCAATAAGTCATGTGATAAGGTTATTATGCATGACATCTGACCCAGTGATCAAATAATTAATAAGGGTTATCAAGTATCTACTGGTCATGACCTTAACCTTTGACCCCTTGACCCAAAACTCAATAGGGGTCATCTGCTGGTCATGACCAATCATCATACAAAGTTTGAAGTTCCTAGGCCTAAGCGTTTTTAGTTAATTGATCGGAAACCGTTTTTACCTACAAGGTCAATGTGACCTTGACCTTTGACCCCTTGACCCCAAAATCAATAGGTCATCTGCTGGTCATGACCAATCACCATACCAAGTTTGAAGTTCCTAGGCCGAAGCGTTCTTAAGTTATTGATCAGAAACCGTTTTTACTTACAAGGTCAATGTGACCTTGACCTTTGACCCCTTGACCCAAAACTCAATAGGGGTCATCTGCTGGTCACAACCAATCATCATACAAATTTTGAAGTTCCTAGGCCTAAGCGTTTTTAGTTAATTGATCGAAACCGTTTTACCTACAAGGTCAATGTGACCTTGACCTTTGACCCCTATGACCCCAAAATCAATAGGTCATCTGCTGGGTCATGACCAATCAACATACCAAGTTTGAAGTTCCTAGGCCTAAGTGTTTTTTTGTTATTGATCAGAAACCATTTTTACCTAAGAGGTCAATGTGACCTTGACCTTTGACCCCTTGACCCCAAAATCAATAGGGGTCATCTACTGATCATGACCAATCACCATACCAAGTTTGAAGTTCCTAGGCCTTAAAGTTCTTTAGTTATTGATCAGAAACCGTTTTTACTTACAAGGTCAATGTGACCTTGACCTTTGACCCCTTGACCCAAAACTCAATAGGGGTCATCTGCTGGTCATGACCAATCATCATACAAATTTTGAAGTTCCTAGGCCTAAGCGTTTTTAGTAAATTGATCGGAAACCGTTTTTACCTACAAGGTCAATGTGACCTTGACCTTTGACCCCTTGACCCCAACATCAATAGGTCATCTGCTGGTCATGACCAATCACCATACCAAGTTTGAAGTTCCTAGGCCTAAGTGTTCTTTTGTTATTGATCAGAAACCATTTTTACCTAAGAGGTCAATGTGACCTTGACCTTTGACCCCTTGACCCCAAAATCAATAGGGGTCATCTACTGATCATGACCAATCACCATACCAAGTTTGAAGTTCCTAGGCCTTAAAGTTCTTTAGTTATTGATCGGAAACCATTTTTACCTACAAGGTCAATGTGACCTTGACCTTTGACCTCTTAACCCTAAAATCAATAGGGGTCACCTGCTGGTCATAACCAATCACCATACCAAGTTTGAAGTTCCTAGGCCTAAGGGTTCTTTTGTTATTGACCAGAAACCGTTTTTACCCAAAAAGTCAATGTGACCTTGACCTTTGACCCCTTGACCCCAAAATCAATAGGGGTCATCTACTGATCATGACCAATCACCATACCAAGTTTGAAGTTCCCAAGCCTAAAGGTTCTTTAGTTATTGATCGGAAACCGTTTTTGCTTACAAGGTCAATGTGACCTTGACCTTTGACCCCTTGACCCCAAAATCAATAGGGGTCATCTACTGGTCATGACCAATCACCATACCAAGTTTGAAGTTCCTAGGCCTAAGGGTTCTTTAATTATCACTCGGAAACCATTCGGTCTACGGACCGACGGACCGACGGACCGACAAGTGCAAAGCAATATACCCCCTTTTCTTCGAAATGGGGGCATAATTATGCACAACACCACAATGATAGTAAATACATATTTATATATAGGTATCAGTATCACATATTCAAAGGGGATCCTCTGAAGTTTACCAACTATTTGATTTAATATATTGATATACAGTTGATATCTGGTTTTCAATAGAGGATATTGAATGAGTGTAGGTTCAATACTGAATTCATTGGACAAGTTGAATAAAATGAGCCGCGTCATGACAAAACCAACATAATGGGTTTGCGACCAGCATGGATCCAGACCAGCCTGCGCATCCGCGCAGTCTGATCAGGATCCATGCTGTTCGCTTACAAAGTCTATAACAAGTAGAGAAACTGATAGCGAACAGCATGGATCCTGATCAGACTGCGCGGATGCGCAGGCTGGTCTGGATCCATGCTGGTCGCAAACCCATTATGTTGGTTTTGTCATGACGCGGCTCAAATTATTATCTTGAGAGCCTCCGGCAGGCATAATATTTTTCTATTCATTCAAGTTCAATTTATTTGATAACAAGAGCCCGGTTTGAGCCGGGTGATGCTCCCCGAATAGGTTTTGGACACAGGAAAGTACACCTCTTGTAGTTTCAGAGTTATGTTCCTGGAAAAAGTTCAAAGTGCAATAATTCCAAAATTAGGAAAGGCAGAGTTACTGTTCTTTGCACTGCACTTCTAATCACTGTTATCTATCAACTTACAAAGTTTCTTGTTGATATCTCTTATGGTTTCCGAGTTATGTTCCGGACAACTCCAAAAAGTAAAAATAAACAAAGGGCAATAACTCCAGAATTAGGCAAGGCAGAGTTATGATTCTCGTGCACTGCACTTCTACCCATTGAGATACATCTACCTACAAAGTTTTATGTTAATATCTCTTATAGTTTTACAGGTATGTCCAGTACAAGATTTTTCTAAAAGGGGAGATAATTTAAAAATGAGGCTTAATAGTTATGTTTTTTTTGCACTGCACTTCTATTCAATGAGATATATCTACCTACAATGTTTCATCTTGATATCTCTTATAATTTTAGAGTTATGTTCCGGACAAAGTTCAGTGTTAAAATTAACAGTGTTAAAATTAACAAAGGGCAATAACTCCAAAATTAGGACAAAAAGAGTTATTGTTCTTATGCACTGCACATCTACCCATTGAGATCTATTCACCTACAATTTTAGTTTCACATTGATATCTCTTATAGTTTTAGAGTTATGCCCCGGACAAGATTTTTCTATAAGGGGAGATAATTCAAAAATGAGGCTTAACAGAGTTATGGTTCTTTTGCACTCAGCACTTCTACTCAATGAGATCTATCTACCTACAATGTTTCATCTTGATATCTCTTATAATTTTAGAGTTATGTTCCGGACAAAGTTCAAAGAGTTGAAATTAACAAAGGGCAATAACTCCAAAATTAGGACAAAAAGAGTTATTGTTCTTATGCACTGCACATCTACCCATTGAGATCTATTCACCTACAAAGTTTCATGTTGATATCTCTTATAGTTTTAGAGTTTTGCCCCAGACAAGATTTTTCTATAAGGGGAGATAATTCAAAAATGAGGCTTAACAGAGTTATGGTTCTTTTGCACTCAGCACTTCTACTCAATGAGATCTATCTACCTACAATGTTTCATCTTGATATCTCTTATAATTTTAGAGTTATGTTCCGGACAAAGTTCAAAGTGTTGAAATTAACAAAGGGCAATAACTCCAAAATTAGGACAAAAAGAGTTATTGTTCTTATGCACTGCACATCTACCCATTGAGATCTATTCACCTACAAAGTTTCATGTTGATATCTCTTATAGTTTTAGAGTTATGCCCCGGACAAGATTTTTCTATAAGGGGAGATAATTCAAAAACCGGGCAAAATAGAGTTATGGTTCTTTGACACTGCACTCCCCCTCAATGCCCTCTACCACTGTATGAAGTTTAAACAAATTATCTCCAAGGGTTTTCAAGTTATGCTCCGGACAAGAAAACGGACGGACAGACGGATGTTCTCACAGGACGGACAGACGGACAAGGCGCCGACTATATGCTCCCCCGAAATTTTTCGGGGAGCATAATAAAGCTTCACATATATAATTTCCTATTAATTATATACCCAAAAAAAGAACTGTTTATAGTAGAAATATATAATATCATTTTTTACTGACTGGACTATAGCGTTACACTAACAATTTGCGCACTTTCATGCAATGTTTGTACAAATCAAATAACAACATGTCAAAATATATGCATGGTGTGCAATTGTAACCATTTTTATGGAGTCTCAAAAGTAATACATGCTTGTTATAAATATCCATACAATACAAATTTTTCAATCAATGACTGCCCTAAATTATAAGAGAAGTATATAATAAATATAAGAACCTTCCATTCTGAATTTGACCTTGACCAGTTTCTTTGATAACTATATCTGTAAGTTGGTGCACAGCATGTTGTAATCCTGAACCATCGAAATGACTCATTCCCGTCACATTGGAACCTGAAATTTAAAACCATGTGATGAAAAAAATGTTTGTGTGTTTGATAGTGTTTTACATCACATCAACACAGTATAAGTCATATGGCGACTTTCCAGTTTTTCAGGTGGAGGAAGACCTCAAGTGCATTCTGTGCATTATTTTAGGCAGAAACAGGCACCTGAGTAGAACCACCAACAGACCGCTTGATGGCTTCCACACTTGAAAGAATCCAAAGTCCCTGTCAGGATTCCAACCCACAGTGGCGAGGAAAAAATATAAAAAATCTGAATATTAATGCCATTAATGGCTTCCCTATCCCAGCAGTACAATATATGCAGTCTGACTCGGGTCTATACTGTAAGCTGCTTAATTTTAATTATAGCGTTTGGATATCAAAACCATTCTGTCATACCACAAAGACAGTTCATTACTGATATACAAATTTAGCATGATAAGAATTGATATTTCAATATTCAGATATCATAATTATATGCCATTAATTATGATAAAATTCTATTTAACAAGATATGTTTGTAAAACATGTATGCCCCCTATCGGCAGCCAATTAGTCATGTGATCAGGTTATTATGCATGACTTCTGACCCAGTGAACAAACAATTAATAAGGGTTATCTACTGGTCATGACTAGTCACAAGGTAATAATTATTGTGACCCCATAGGTTGTGTGCAGCAATTTAAGTTATTACAAATCTTACCAAATATAATATGCATAAATTTTATGAATCATGTAGGCCTCATTAATGACAGCCAAGTTGTTATATTACAGAAGACCTTCAAATGTGTATACCAAAAGCATTTTAAGTTTAATATAAAAATATCAACCAAGGCAACTTGAGTTATTGAGTTATTGGTCAGAAACCGTCATTAAGTACAAGGTCAATATGACATTGACCCCTTGACCCCAAAATCAATAGGGGTCATCTACTGGTCATGACCAATCATCATACAAAGTTTGAAGTTCCTAGGCCTAAGTGTTCTTTAGTTATTGATTGGAAACCGTTTTTACCTACAAGGTCAATGTGACCTTGACCTTTGACCCCTTGACCCAAAAATCAATAGGAGTCATCTGCTGGTCATGACCAATCATCATACCAAGTTTGAAGTTTCTAGGCCTAAGCATTCTTTAGTTATTGATCGGAAACCGTTTTTACCTACAAGGTCAATGTGACCTTGACCTTTGACCCCTTGACCCAAAATCAATAGGGGTCATCTGCTGGTCATGACCAATCACCATGCCAAGTTTGAAGTTCCTAGGCCGAAGCGTTCTTTAGTTATTGATCGGAAACCGTTTTTACTTACAAGGTCAATGTGACCTTGACCTTTGACCCCTTGATCCCAAAATCAATAGGGGTCATCTGCTGGTCATGACCAATCACCATACCAAGTTTGAAGTTCCTAGGCCTAAGCGTTCTTTAGTTATTGATCAGAAACCGTTTTTACTTACAAGGTCAATGTGACCTTGACCTTTGACCCCTTGACCCAAAACTCAATAGGGGTCATCTGCTGGTCACGACCAATCATCATACAAAGTTACAAAGTTTGAACTTCCTAGGCCTAAGCGTTTTTAGTTAATTGATCGGAAACCGTTTTTACCTACAAGGTCAATGTGACCTTGACCTTTGACCCCTTGACCCCAAAATCAATAGGAGTCATCTGCTGGTCATGACCAATCACCATACCAAGTTTGAAGTTCCTAGGCCTAAGGGTTCTTAAGTTATTGATCGGAAACCGTTTTTACCTACAAGGTCAATGTGACCTTTGACCCCTTAACCCCAAAATCAATAGGGGTCATCTGCTGGTCATGACCAATCACCATACCAAGTTTGAAGTTCCTAGGCCTAAGGGTTCTTTAGTTATTGATCGGAAACCGTTTTTACCTAAGAGGTCAATGTGACCTTGACCTTTGACCCCTTGACCCCAAAATCAATAGGGGTCATCTACTGATCATGACCTATCACCATATCAAGTTTGAAGTCCCTAGGCCTAAGGGTTCTTTAGTTATTGATCGGAAACTGTTTTTACCTACAAGGTCAATGTGACCTTGACCTTTGACCCCTTAACCCCAAAATAAATAGGGGTCATCTGCTGGTCATAACCAATCATCATACCAAGTTTGAAGTTCCTAGGCCTAAGGGTTCTTTAGTTATTGATCGGAAACTGTTTTTGCTTACAAGGTCAATGTAACCTTGACCTTTCACCCTTTGACCCCAAAATCAATAGGGGTCATCTACTGGTCATGACCAATCACCATACCAAGTTTGAAGTTCCTAGGCCTAAGAGTTCTTTAGTTATCACTCGGAAACCATTTGGTCTACGGACCGACAGACCGACAAGTGCAAAGCAATATACCCCCTCTTCTTCGAAGTGGGGGCATAATTATGATTATTTTTCTTCAGTCTTTTTAGATCCAGTGGTGACAGTAACAGACCTATGCCATCAGCAGAAAATCAGGTCAGCAAGTTTATCCATGAAAATCAGATTGAGCTTTGGACAACTCAAATTCATGATACTTAAACCATCAAAACCATTTATACACTGTTATTTTTCTTCAACTGAGTACTAAGCATCATTTATAAGTAATACTATGAAAAGTTGTATGCAAATCAATATAAAAATACAGGTTTTGTTTACCTGTGTGGCGAAGTATAACAATGTGACATGTGGTGGCATCATCTGTACCTAATACCTGTATACTCTCTGAAATATTAAAACAAACAAATAAACACATTCAAGACTGATGAACTAGTATTTTTACTCTGAAATTGAAACAATTGTGCTTGCTTATGCCTTGGGTAACTGTATTTTACTTGGTATGATATTATTACTTTTACTCATTATATATTTTTATTTTATGCTTTATGTGAGAAACATGTTTTTAAAGCTCACTCGATGAAATAAAATTTCATCTTACACACAAACAAAAATCCTCTTTATATACTAACACAGGGCTGCCAAGTCCTTAATCTATTCAATAAATGTTGAGCAAGAAGCAGCAAGAAGTAATGTGCACATTTAGAGCCTACTGAATTATTTTGCATTATAGAAACTGACCAATTAGCCTACAGACATTTTGAAGTTCAAAGCAAATGCTTGCTAAGGTGGACTTTACGCTGTTTTGTAGGTCTTCTGACGCCAGAGTAAAAATTATATAATTTCAAGACCTTTGTCTCTTATGTAAGTGAATAAAGGTTATATTTATGTCAGGAATAATTTATGCTTAATAATATGACCAGCTCTGTATTGAAAACATACAATCACACATCATATACAAGACCGTTTTTTCTTCAGTCACTACTGAATTTTTGATCATTTTGTCACTATATATGAATTATATAAAGGCATGTAACTTTTAAGAATGAAAATTTACCATCATCTGGTGAGATGACAGCCATTTCCCTCTGACCAACATAAAGCAATCCATGAGGAGGAACCTCTTTTGTATGCTTGGAAGTTAAAGCTGCAGCACCCTCCTAAAATACAATAACAAAGTGATCCTGATAAAAACAATAACAAAGAGATCCTGATAACAAGAGGGCCATGATGACCCTGAAGTCGCTCACCTGTATATAGGCCCAACGAGCGAGGCCAGTCTAAAACCCCAGGGCTTTTATTTGAACAAACTTGGTAGACACCCATTAGAAGATGTTTCATGCTAAACATCTAAGGTCTAGCTCATTGGGTTTTTTAAAAGAAGATTTTTTAAGTATTTACTATACACATATAGTTAAAAACAGGGGCCATTTTTGACCCCACGGCTTTTATTTGAACAATCTTTGTAGACACTCACTAGAAAATGTTTCATGCATAATATCTAAACTCTAGCTATTCGGGTTTTTTCAAAGAAGATTTTTAAGTTTTTGCTATACACATATAAGGAAAATCAATGTCCCCCGGGGCGGGGACAATTTTGACCCCAGGGCTTTTATTTGAACAAACTTTGTAGACACTCACTAGAAGCTAATTCATGCTTAATATCTCAACTCTAGCTATTTGTTTTTTTTCAAAGAAGATTTTTTAAGTTTTTGTTATACACATATAAGGAAAATCAATGACCCCCGGAGCGGGGCCAATTTTGACCCCAGGGCTCTTATTTGAACAAACTTGGTAGACATCCATTAGAGGAAGTTTCATGCTAAATATCTTAGCTCTAGCTCTTTGGGTTCTTTAAAAGAAGATTTTTTTTAAGTTTTTCCTATATGCATATAGGGAAAATCAATGACTCCCTGGGGCGGGGCCAGTTTTGACCCCAGGGCTTTTATTTGAACAAACTTGGTAGACACCCATTAGAGGATGTTTCATGCTAAATATCTTAGCTCTAGCTCTTTGGGTTCTTTAAAAGAAGATTTTTTAAGTTTTTACTATATACATAGTTACATGTATAGGGAAAATCAATGACCCCCTGGGGCGGGGCCAGTTTTAACCCCAGGGCTTTTATTTGAACAAATTTGGTAGACCGTGACTCACTAGAAGATGTTTCATGCCAAATATCTAAGCTCTAGCTCTTTGGGTTTTTTAGCAGAAGATATTTAAAGTTTTTTCTTTTGCTTGCCATGCCAACCAGAGTTCTGCATGCAATACAAAGAGATCCTAATAAAAACAATAACAAAGTGATCCTGATAAAAGCAATAACAAAGTGATCCTGATAAAAACAATAACAAAGTGATCCTGATAAAAACAATAACAAAGTGATCCTGATAAATACAATAACAAAGTGATCCTGATAAATACAATAACAAAGTGATCCTGATAAATACAATAACAAAGTGATCCTGATAAAAGCAATAACAAAGTGATCCTGATAAATACAATAACAAAGTGATCCTGATAAATACAATAACAAAGTGATCCTGATAAGTAATTCATAGACTTTCTTAACCCTAACCAAGCTAAATACCTTAAATGGACTTGTCCATCTTTTAATCTGAACTCTCATCATTTTTAGGGAAAATTTCTAAACAGACACTGATTAAATAGCAAACAGTGCAGCCAATATCGGTAATCAGGGGACACGGATTTGATATTCAAATCCCTTAAATAAACCAAGAAAAATTTCAGATTAAAATCAGGACACACCTATCATACATTACAGTCCTAATTTACATTGGGTAATTAATAGTTAAATCAATTATAAAATCCTTACATGATACAATTTAATAACATTTTTTTCTCTATAAAATCAATTTCTATTTTGTCATTTGACACAATGCGTAAATTCAAATAAGGAAAGTATGAAAACTCAGACCTATTTTCAATTATGAGCAGTTTATTTTTATCTCAACACCTTAAAGAATAAAAAAAAACTAATTTCATTGCAAATCTATAAAATTATCCCTTTTTAAGTAAACTCTGATAAGGGTATGTAGCAAGGATTGTTCAGTAATTCTTTAAATGATTTAGCAAAACATTACATGTATCTTATAAGGTTATTTAGAATTGGTGATACACCATGCAAGATCATGGTTTGTAGATAACCTTATCACATGACTTAGCCATGACACCTTTTTCCATAAAATTGGCCCGTCTCCAGACCATTCTATACAAAGACCCTGGTTTTTGTATTTTCTGATCGCAAGATCAGTAAATACAAAGCTAACATTCACGGTTTAACACAAAATTTCCTAACAGACCTAACAACGCAAAGTAGTTCTCACTCAAAACTGCTTAAAAACCAGCAATTTAAAAGAAAGAATAATTTTAATGTAGGCATTTAACGAATTACAGTGCATTAAAAGTTTAGATTAGTCAATAGAAATATGAGGTTACAATCACAAATTTCGCGGATGAATATCTTTTTTACCCAATGAAAAATGTTCGGCTATTTCCGTAAAGCTTAATCAATGAAAATGCTATTTTTAGCTATGTCGATTACCGAATACTCCAGAGCGTAGTGCACAAATAAATTTGACTGTCGAGTAGTGGAATATATACATGTTGGACTGTTTTGGCGAGAAGATTTTCGCTAAATTATTTTCATCAGTGTTAAACAACAGGTTTATCGTGAACAAAATACCTCGAAATTAATAAGGATTACAAACACGAAATGGAAATTCTCAATTTAGAATTACAATGTATTTGTTTTTATTTGTTTGGGTCGTCAGACCAAACAAATAATGGTAGCGAAATTTCAGACTCTAATGCTGTTCATTGCAAGTGCCGAAAGTAGTCTGCTTTTTTGAAGCGATTACTTCCCTTTATATGTAAACTAACGCCGAAAAATTCAGGGGAGATCACTGCGTAAAGATGGTCAAATGACAGGCGCATCATTTTCAAGCAAAATAATTCCCGAATGGTCGAAGATTTCTAATATTGTTTTATATTCTTTATAGATATACATGCTGATAGTAAGCTCCATGATTATTTACATCCGTGTTAAACAACAGTTAGCGGCGTTACAAACCCTAATCTAGAATAATATAGTTTTCTTCAGGCTGTTAACATATAAATTCACCGTGGCCGAGGGGTTTGTGCGCTCGCTTAGGAAGCGAGAGGTCTGGAGTTCAAATCCCAGTTAAGGCAACTCATTTTTTTTCAAATTGTTTAAGTCAAATAAACATTGGATTGAATATCAGTGTTTAAATTAGTCTTATAGTCAATTTACTACAACTAAAACGGTGGAAAGCATTGGTGGCACTTTACAAAAACAAATTGGTTTATAATCTCACAACCTTCACCTTTCTGACATTCTGAGACCCAAACAAATTCAGCGCCTTCTGTGCTTTGATTATTCAAGCTACATAGGTATTACTTCACCGTGGTGCAGAGGTAGCGCGCTCGTTTAGGGTGTGAGAGGCCAAAGGTTCAAATCCTAGCCGAGGCAACTTTTTTTTAAGAGTCTTTTTTAAGGAAGTAGCCACCATATGCAAGGATATAGTGTGGCTGTCATAAAAAATGAAAAATGATTTTTTTGATGCAACTCTAGTCATGCAAAATTCCATATGTATCAATCTCAAACTGTTATAGAAAAATATCTAAACGCAGTCGCTGCGTAAGATGAATTATAGTATATAACAAGAGCTGTCGGTAGGACAGCACGCTCGACTATTCTAAGTGCTTGATAGTAAAAGAGCCTTGATAATGATAAATTTTTTAAGTTGACAAAAGGGCTAATTTTTTGTTATAAATTCATGTTATAGGCCTTAGAGAGAGTCTAATTATACAGTATTGGCTTGACTATTCGGAAGGTAATGTCACAAGGGTGTTTTATTGAGTATAATAATACTAATTACCTATGAATACATAAATTTGACAGAAAAGGTACAAAGGCTTGTTATTTAGATGTTTTATAAAGTAAATCACTGCTTTATTATTATGAATGCATAAAATTGTCCCAAAAAAGGCACAAACCCTTCAGTACTTATTGAGATAACAGCTTACAAGCAAAACTTAACCATGAATTTCTAAGTTGAAAAAGGGGAGAAAAATCAGCTTAAATGCAAGATAGAATTATGGATCTTTGTCAGTGACTAAATATCTTTAATAGTTATTGAGATATGTAAAACTTGCATGTAAACATTAACCAAGAGACTAAGTAGAAAAGGGGATATGAATCAGCCTTAATGCAAGATAGAGTTATGGAACTTGGTCAGTGACATACAATTATGACCCTCCAATTATGACCCTAAGTGCATGTGTAAAGTTTCAAGTAAATATCTTTAAAGACCTTTAACCTTTAACCAAAATTTCTAAGTTTCAAAGGGGCAAATAATTCTGCAAATATTGCAGGCAGAGTTATGCAATTTTGCAAACTGATGTACATTGTTACTATAAAAAAGTATTTTAAATTTCAATTGAATATCTCAAGCAATAATTGAGATATTTGACTTTACAAAAAAACTTTAACCAAAATTTCTAAGTTCCAAAGGGGCATAATTCTGTCAATATTGTAGGCAGAGTTATCCAACTTGTCAATCTGTTGTACATTGTTACTATAAATAAGTATTGTAAGTTTCAATTGAATATCTCAAGCAATAATTGAGATATTTGACTTTACAAAAAACTTTAACCAAAATTTCTAAGTTAAAAAGGGGCATAATTCTGTCAATATTGTAGGCAGAGTTATCCAACTTGTCAATCTGATGTACATTGTTACTATAAAAAAGTATTGTAAGTTTCAATTGAATATCTCAAGCAATAATTGAGATATTTGACTTTACAAAAAACTTTAACCAAAATTTCTAAGTTAAAAAGGGGCATAATTCTGTCAATATTGTAGGCAGAGTTATCCAACTTGTCAATCTGATGTACCTTGTTACTATATATGTATTGTAAGTTTCAATTGAATATCTCAAGTAATAATTGAGATATTTGACTTTACAAAAAACTTTAACCAACGCAGACGCCGACGCCGACGCAGACGCCGACGCCGACGCCGGGGCGACTACAATAGCTCTCATATTCTTCGAATAGTCGAGCTAAAAATAAATTAATACAGGAAAATACATACATATACGTGGAGTCAGTATGATTGATCAGAAAATACCAATGAGCTTGCAGCCCTTTGATTTATTTCAGGAAACAATCAAAAATCATAAACTTCCACCAGGTAGATTCCTCAAATGAAATACAATGTCTATCAATAATTGAAAGATTCAGATTCACACATTTAAATTATTGAAGGTATAATTCATGACTGTACAAACCTTAAAATGTGGAAATCTTTGTAGGAATTCTGCAACCGACTTGGGGCTCTCGCCCATTGGTCTGTCTTGGATAAACAGTGGCATTCTTAGCCGTTACCTGTAAAACAAAGAAACTATGACATCATCACATGACATCATCACTTGAAATATATAGCATTATCAGTCTCTATAGACAAGTGATTTTTTTCCATAAATTTTCATACAAGTAAGAAATACTTCAAATAAAACAGACAAGTAAATAAAAATCAAACTTCAATGGCTATGTCTAGGTCAATAAATTCACACTCTATGACAAACAGTACTGTAAGCTATTGTCAAGAATTCAAAGACAATCCAGTAAATAAATTCACTCCTGAAATATTTTATCAAGACATAAAAATTCATTGATTGGAAAAAATCCAGTACATGTATATAAATTGTATAATTTACAGTATGATAATTTTTTGTGTATAATTGAAGAATTCAAGGACGATGTTTAAGCTATTGATTGGAGCATTATGCTGATTCACCTTGACATTAGACCTATTGACCCACAGAAATACATAAAAGGGTAATCATTTGTTTGAAGGTCAAAGGTTGTAAGCCTAAAGATCAATTAAATTACAATAATCTACCTTAATGCACTGCCTGCCGGAAACCTTTAGTACTAGGTCACTGCCCTCTTTACAAGATTTTGGCAGATGGCAAACTTTTAAGTACGTTATGCGAGTACTTGTTCCAAAACCAAAATATGATATTATGTCTATGCAATAGTCTGTTGCTGATATTGATACTATAGCATGCTGTGATGCCAATTGTTTGTTCAAAATAAAGTGACCTCTCATAAACAGGCTCGCTTTACTAATTACTATCTTATCTTCTAAAATTTGACAATTGAATTCTAAAAATATTCACTAATATTCAACATATTTTGAATTGCCTTTAATCAATTACATGTAGTAATGCAAAGAATTTATTGTAAATATTAAAGGTAAAATCTAGTACATATATTTAAAGTGACACTCCTTAACTTTTCCCCCTTTACCCCATAAATTTGTAAACATTGTAGATATTAACACACATTTTCCCCCAAGTTCAGAAAAGGAAATATCAATTAAGATACAAAATTAAAAATCCTGAATATGATCATAGTACAGCTTTATGTTTAAGGTCCCTTTGCAACCTATTATGAAAAATTATTGTTCTTTTTTGAATAATTATTAAAATATTATGGAAAAAAAGAAGAAAATATTACTTTAAATTTATGCTGGACTTCCAGGTTACATCTACAATTGTTATAATAAGCCTACTTGTGCATTTACAAATGTTTAAATATTTAAATTTATGTAATAACAACACTTCAAATCTAAAAGTGAAAATCAGAAGTTCTTTTACATTGAATACGGCTTTCATTCATAATTTGACCGCAAAAATACAATCAAAACTGAAAATATTTTTAATTGAAATAATTCTTTAAATGACAAAATAAACACATTTTGCATAGTCCATAATTTTCCATTAAAATACATTTCAAAATCTTTTCTTACTTTTGAATTGGTAAAAGCATATTATTTTGTTAACTTATTTATGAATTTATAAATTATAAAGATATTTAAATGAGGATTCCACTTCATAGGTAGTTGACAGAAAGAAATATCAATTCAATTTTGTAGATGACGAGAAATTCAAAAATTTACAGAAATTTATGTGCAAAATTGATTTTTTATTTAATTATAAGTATAGCAATGAAATTAAGTCAGTCAGAAGTTTTGACAAATATACATTTCACTGAAAAATAAATGACTGTCAAGTTGCCTGTCTCCAGATGAGCCATTATACATTTATTTCCAGAAAATCAAACTTGAGAAAAATATAAAATATACTAAGATTTTAAGGAAAGTAAAAAGTTTCCAGATTCAAGTATTAATTTACATGTTATAAAATTATATTCGATTAATGACTGACTGCAGTATTTATCACCATATTTCTACTCTGTGACTATAACCCAGCAAGGGTTATTTTTTGCATATGTTGACCTCTTTTTGTTAATTTACGCGGATTGTAAGTGACATATGCAATTATGATTAAATTACTTTCTTTGTTCACTTACCAATATTTTACTTTTAAATAAAGTTTCAAAATTTTCATGAAAATTAGCATGAATCCAAAGGCATGCTGCTTTAACAATTATTTACTATATATCTTTCAATGTCAGTTTAAACTTTTTATAATCACTATATTTCAGTAGGAACTTCACAGTTAGAATCGCATATGGTAAGTCAGAAAAATATGGCAGTAGATTTCTACAATCATAACTTAATTTTGCTTCACTTGGAAAAAAAATAAACATGTACTTAGTAACCATTCTTATTTCCCTGATAAACAATCTTTTTAATATTATGTATAATTAAAAAATCTATGCTTTACCAAGTTATTACCAAGTTATTACTTAACCCTTTCCTTCATGAGCATATTGTGAAAAATGGCCTAAATAAGGTAATTTTTCACTGTTAGAGGCCTCAAAAAAAAAAAAGGGGGGGGGGGGGGGTCAAAAAGCCGTCAAAACAAGTCTATATGAAGTAAAGGGTTAAGTGTCATCAATATTCAAAGTTGAATCAACATCTGACTGAATTATATCAACAGGTACAACAATTATAGTCCAATGTGACTTCATTTTAAAGAAAATGTAGAGCAAAACATTTAAAACACATTATTAAGTCTCTTTTAAAAAGATTTTCTACATAAACATTTAATGGTCTTTATATACATCAAAGGGCACTTGAACAAAGTTATCTGTTAACATTTAAAGTCTTCATGAAGACCATTATGCCTCAGAAATGCTATCATTTGCTATCACTTTTATATTTTTGGTATCTTAATTGTTACAGTTTCACAAAAAAATAGTTATTTGCCCCATAGATGAACTATCTTTTGCATTCTTAGCTCTGTTGGTAATTAGTAAAATTATAGTGAATTTGTATTTTGTATGGAAGTCAAAATACTATTTTGTTTATGTTTTGCTACCTTTATGACACACTTCTTAGTGTTCATCGCTCCATTCTTTAGTTGTAAAACATCTTACAAGCTTTAAGTCTCTTCTAAATCATGCTTATAAGCATTCTTTAAGTCAAACGTGATGACATTGTGTTTCCTAATGAAAATATTGAAATATGACTTCTATGAAATAATTAGATATTTATTGCTACATAAAATCAATGTATCATTGTAGGTCCTAACAGCACCTATCCAAACTTCACAACCTTTATTTGCTTTTATCCTACCTTCATGTTATTTCAATTGTCAGGGAAACTTTTACTTTATCACAGTAAAGAAATTCATCCATTTTTTTTGTGCAAAATAAAGATTTAATACAGCAAATCTTATAAACTGTTTTGATATGTTTTTTCTTAATGCAAGATAATTCTTTTACAAAATACCTTTATACCCTGAAACTATTACAGTAAAGTAATTGACTTTTAAGTTTGTTATATTTTCAGTACATTTAAACATCAAATTTTTATACATTCCATCACACTGTCATAGAATCACCTAGGGGGCGGAGCAAAGTACAAACTAAGTAGGGGCAGAACTAAAATTTTCACTCATCACTCATGATGAACATGTATTTAATGTCATTTCAGCATGAAAACTCAATGACAAATAAAGTATCAATTGATATCTTGAAATGTAATTTGGAAACAATTTATCAAAATTGAACAGGTTCTACATGTGTATTTTATATTGCAAATTTCAAAAAGAAAGCTTAATAATGGAGTGTCAAATTTTTTAGCATTCTAGGATTATATTTCTACATCAGATTCATAACAGTCTATGCATAATTAAACAAAGACATTGCATATACAACATTTAAAATTTAAAAGACCTAAATTTTCAGAATTTATTTGTTGATAAATACAGACTGGCCATCTGATGATCTACAAAAAAAAAAGAAAAAAAGAAAAAAAAGGGCTATCCAGCATAGGCATGTATTATTCATTATCTTAATTTTCAATCAGAACTTCATAAGATAAACTTTACTTACATACGTTATTGTTAAATCCAAAAATGAAAAGTGATTTACGTGATACTTGTCTGCTGTCAGTGATTAACACTTCGTGAATTTGCAAACGTTATTAAAATTAAACATCAAATATCACAAATTTTTCACACGTAGACTATTGTTATAATTATTCATTTACAAAAACTTCAGACCTAAATAAATATAACTGTATAAACTAAAGATAGAGTGATCAACTTAAATTGCCTATCTGTAAATAATCAATAATGTACACAAATGCCTTTGAAAATATTTTAAATCCAGTTAAATCATTTAACCCAAAGTATTTAATCCAGATAGAAGGGTCTGTACTTAAACCCTAACTCCACTAAATTTCTGCAATGGACTAGTCCTGATTTAAATTTGGAACTGATCACTTTTACTGACAGTGATTTCCCCCCCCCCCTTTATTTTACAGCTGAAAAAGAGCTGTTTCCCCTAGCCTAAAATAGGTATATGTTGGTTTCAATAAATCTTCAAATTTATTTTTTTTAGAAAATTCTGGATAAATCTGGAATTTTTTATAAGTTTTGTCAATTGGGATTTATAAGTTTATTATAAAAGTCTCATCAATGTACACAATTAAAATATATATAAAATACAATATGACTGCTGCCAATCTAAAAGATTTTTTAAGAGACAAAAAAGTTTAATTACTATTTCCATATAAAAATATACTATACTATACTTGGCCTTTATTTCATGCACACATTAAAAAATCACTGACATAAAGTTGTAATGTAAAATCTGCAGAAAGTAAAAAAACTATTTAAGAAAAGAGTAAAAAAATGTTTACATAATATATTTTTAAAAAAAACTTGTTTAAATGATGTGAAATGTTGAAGTACTTCTACATGTCAAATTTGACAATTTATATACATTAATAGATAACTTTATATCCTTTTGCATTTTTTATGCTCTTCAATATTGGAGGTATAAAAAGTATCTATCTTTTTGAGAAAAATCTAAGAGAAATATGGGCTATATACTACCAAATATTTTGTGGAGAAAAAACACTGTTAAACAATAAAGTGTTGATTTATTTTAAGAGTTATCTGTTTATGAGAATATTTAATGCTGTCTTGCAATATATAATACTTGTTTTGTGGTACACTTTCAAATGAAAATATTGTGGAAATGCACGTACACATAGGCCATAAAAAGCTTACTGCATTAGTTGCATATTTATTTTAAGACTTAATATAAAGCTGTTAGCGAGATATAATCTGCTGAAAATATAATGAAGCATGCAGTTCATTTACATGCAAGTATTGATAGTGAGATAACAAATGTATACTATTATAACCCTGACTGCCCTAAATAATTTAATTGGGATAATCAATCTTTCAATCTGGACAAAACCATTCATAATTTAGGGGAAATTTCAAAATATGTACTGACTGAAGAGCAAACAGTGCAGACCATGAGCAAACAGTACAGATGCACTGAGTCAAATTGAAATCTGAGTGACAAATCTAAAGTTTTCATGGACATTTTTTTCATCAATCTTGTCGACTGTTCATTCAAGTGAAATGACTTCTTGCAATTTATATTCATATTTCTTTCAAACTGATATGAAATGCTATGAAAGACTTAAGTTCCTCCATCTTGTTGCCATGACAACCAGAATTGTGCAGCTGTCACTTATTTCTCAAGGAATAAAACAAGACATGCCCACAGGCAGAATGTAAAGCCTGCTCAACTTAATTAATTCAAACCTGAACCTATTAGTTTCCGATAAAGGAGATGAGATGTGCTCAACACATCCTTTTTATATTCAAGGCAAAATCTTGACATTGCATCATCTTAAAAGACCTTGACGTCTGACCCAGTGATCTGGTTCATGTGCATGACAGGAAGTCTCATGATGAACATTTGTGCCTAAAAACTCAATGAAAATTTCTCCATGCACAAAGAAGTTATGGCATGGACAAGTTTGGATGCACACACCCAAACACAAACACTGAACAGCCATTTTGACAACTATGTCGAGCTCAGCGCCAGCAGGTTCAACAAATATCCTCTGACCACTAAGCATAAATAAGATACAGTGCGGACAACTAAATTGATATTTTTATTTGACATTTGACCTCTTGTGACCTTGACCTTCATTTTGCCCAATACAACTCAACTTACCATGGACAACATTTATTATATTAAATCCATCCATGTATATAGTAGTTATACTCACAAAATTAATGAATGTTGTTCTTTGACCCTAAAGTAAGACCTTGACCTTTGCTAGACACCTGAATTTTTCGTGTGACACTCAGCCTCACTATGGAGAACATTTGTCCAAAGTTATATTTAAATCCCGCCACGCATGTACAAGTTACGGGTTTGGGGTCAACCCCAAGTGTGACCTTGACCTCTGAGTGGCAGACCTGGGTTTTGAGTGTGACACACCACCCCATTATGGTGAACATTTGCATCAAAATTTTTTGTAATCCTTCAAAGAATGAGCAAGATATAGATAGGGTCATATCTAGAAGAATGCACAGACTGACATACACCAAACCACCAAAAGTGAATAGTGGATAGTAAGTCAACCACACCACAAGCTGGCTCAACAATTTAAACATCTTCTCACCACTTACCATTAATACTTCAAAGCATAAGCAAGATACAGTGCCTACAAACAAATTTTAATATTTTTATTTGACCTGTGACCTCTTGTGATCTTGACCTTCATTTTGCACGAGACAACTCAACTCAACATGGAGAACATTAAGTTTTGTGCTCAATTATATTAAAATCCATCCATGTAGTTAGAAGTTACTAGTAAATGAATGTTTATTTTTTTATTATTTGACCTTTGACCCCTAAGTGTGACCTTAACCTTTACCACAGACACCTAAATTATTCTCGTGACACTCCGCCTCACTATAGAGAACATTTTCCCCAAGTTATATTAAAATACTTTCCATGCATGTGGAAGTTACGCTCTGGACATGGGTTTTGCACTGACCCCAAGTGTGACCTTGACTTTTGAGCGGCTGACCTGGGTTTTAGGTGCGACACACAACCCCATCATGGTGAACATTTGTACCACATAACTTTGTTATCCTTCAAGGAATGAACAAGATATAGACCAGATTAATCTGGACTGACTCACAATCACATACACCAAGTTATATACCAAAGGTGATCATGGCCAGCGGGCTCAACAAAAAACTAAAAACAACAACACTTGTAATCAAATGGGCATTTCTTTCCAGATTGTTCAAACATGACTGTCATCAATCAAAGAAGATTAAAATAAAGACCCAATTAAATCACAAAACATTGTATTTAAGTTCAGAAATAAAAAAAATATCTAAATGTCATTTGTAAAAAATACATCCAATACAATTTTAAGACAGCTAAGAATTACAAAACTTGACTGTGAGTGTCTGAAAAGTCAAGGCATGTAAAATATATCTGGTTTTTACTAATTATGTATCATGAAAATCTGTCTAACAAATAGAGATCGATCAAAATTATCACATACTTAAAAAGTGGTGAAATTAATAATTTATTACTTTCAGAGATAAAGCTAGTTCTTATAACACTTTTCAAATAGATGAAGTGTCAGATAGACTGATCAAAAGTCTTTATGCTGGAAATACATAAATAATTCAGAAGAAGAAATATTCTCAAAACAGTATATTTTTTAAATTTAGAGAAAAAAAAAAAGAGGGTAAACTTTCCCAAAAGGCTTGCAGTTGGCAATATTTTTTAAAATTGGGGAAAAATACAGGTTGCTTATGGATTGGGAATGTGGCCTTATATTAGCCCTGGTGATAGTGGCATAAATATCCTGTGTTATCATATTTTCTCCAAACAAATAATTAAAGTTACATCAATTAAAGTTACATTATGTATCACATTCATAGAGAATTCAAACAAAAAATAATATTTATCATCTGACATCATACCGGTACTCAAGAATGAAAACATTTCCTATCAAATAATGAGAAAGTATGATTGTGGTAAGCTAAATGGTGTTTCAATAGTAAAGATAAAAGTGACTTCAAAACTGAAAATACTTTCAATTTTGGTAGTGTTTTACATGATTTTACATCATTTTGACAAAGGAAGACCTTTCATACAAACTTCTTCATTTTTTCAGGGGTTGAAACCATGTGAGTAGAACCATCAGTTTTCTTGAAGGTAGCTGAATAGCTTTGCCAAAGCTATTCAGCTACCTTCAAGAATTGCATTATAAATTTTCAAGCCCCTAGCTACAGATAGAAAAAACGCCCTGAATACATATTTGCAAAACTATTTTCTTGTTCCCTTTTTCTTCTGCAAGTACTGTTAAAACAGTTATTGATCAGGTAATACAAGAGCGATCAGTGATCACATGTTTCGCCTCATGATGGCCAATTTCATGTTGGGACAAGTTTTGTGACAGACGGACAGACAGTGCACAATTAGACTTGGTACTGATCATTCCTGTAAAGTTTGGATAAAATTGCACCAGTTGTTTACGAGGAGTAGTCCGGAAAAGCTTTTGTGTATCTGGCAACACATAAAAAAAAACTCTTTTTATCAAAGGGCCATAACTCGGCCAAAAATCATTCAACCGCAAAACCCGTGCAACATGCGCAAGGACTTGAGCTACAGATCAATCCTGTAAAGTTTCACTGAAATTGCATTAGTGGTATTAGAGAAGTAGTCCGGACAAACTTTAAAAATAAAAAATTTTAAAGGGCCATAACTCTGACAAAAATCATTCAGTGAATTTTCTCTCCAAATTGGGAAGAGGCCTTAGCCTCTTCATTTTGGGAAAAAATTAACGCTAAAAATGCTGAATTGGGAAGTAAAAAAGCTGGTTTAAGTTCAGATTTTTAAGAAAAAAAAAGAAAATATCAATTGGGACGAGGCCTTTTTTTCGGAGTCTGTTATATAAGTAGGAAAATCACTGTCATTGAACCGGAAAATGCTGACAATATGCACAACTAGACTTGGTACTGATCATTCCTGTAAAGTTTGGATGAAATTGCACCAGTAGTTTATGAGGAGTAGTCCAGACAAGCTTTTGTGTATCTGGCAACACACAAATAAAACACCTTTTTATCAAAGGGCCATAACTCGGCCAAAAATCATTCAACCGGAAAACCCGTGCAATATGCGCAAGGACTTGAGCTACAGATCAATCCTGTAAAGTTTCATTGAAATTGCATTAGTGGTATAAGAGAAGTAGTCCAGACAAACTTTAAAAATAAAAATTAT